TCTGAGCGACGTAAGAGGTGGCTGGCTACTCAATTCATTTGTCTCCATCGTGTCTCCAACCTTCGCCCCACTGCCTACACCCTCCACTACCTTTAAAATCTTTGGCAACTGGACAGCATTGTTAGCTTCAAAGCATAACCCCTCCCCGCCATATGGCTGCAGGACGCCCCATCATTATATTTGCAGGTCATAGCCATTTTTAAATGGTTAGAGCTCAGCAGGCTCAATAGGTGCTTGAGTAGATGCGTGAATGGCTGCTCCCTCTTTCCAGGGATTCTAAAAGGCTGTCTCTGTTCCCTCACCTTCTCCCAGATTCTCTCTATACCGGGAACTCTCACCTTCAGCGATCACAGAGAGTCTCTCCCAGAAAGCCTGCCAGGAACGCTCCCTCCCCCAGGAGGTCCTCCCAAGGCCAGTGACCCGCAACTTCTCCAATTGCAGTTCGCAGTGGGCGAAACCTTCCCGCTGCCTATCCAATCTGCACCGAGGCTCACGCGCGCTGTCTTTGGGCGGGTACAGACCTGGCCACGAGGGTGTGCAGGCTGGGCCTGGGCCTTCCCTGGGAGGAGGAAGGTCGCTGCGCGGTGCCGGGGGAACCTCAAACACCCAAGTGGTTCGCCCCACCCAGGTCCCTTCCCGCAGCTCCTGCAGCCCCTTTGGAGGCCCCTTCTCTGCACATCCTCGGTGGGCCCTGACCCCGAGCCTTCTGTGGCCACGCAGCTCAGCTCCACAGGTGTGACTCACAGCCCCGCTCCCTGGGACGGGAAGCCTCTCCGGCAGTCTCCTGTGTTCTCATGGGACCTAGCATGGCGCGCACAGTCAGTGCTCAGCAAATGCTTGGCCACTGGAAGAGAACTGTGGCTCAGCCCGGTTTGCTGGCATAGAGCTGAGGTTTAAATCACCATGGAGACAGAGGGATGGATTTCAGGTCAAATTAATATGTGGGCAAGGCGGGAGTTAGAGTCTCACCAGTGGAATCGTATAGCTTGTGTCACCGAGATAAAGACAGGAGGACCCCGAGTTGGAGCCCTAATATGAGCCTTCTCCTGAGGATGCGGCTCCCGCAAGAGGCCTGGGCTCTGAGGAGCCGGAAAGCCCAGGCGTCATTAGGCGCAGGCGGCTTAAGGTGGTTTCCCAGGGACCTGGAAAGAACAGGTTGCGGCGGCTCCCTGAAACCGTGTTTCAGTTCCCCAGCCTGGCAGAAGCGGCCTCCGTCACTCCTCATCCCTGCTGCACCCCCAAAGAAGAGGCTCACCTATGGAAAGGGAAGACCAAGCAGGAAGCGCGCCCTGACGCCATAGTGCTGGGGACACAGTATGATGTCTGAGGAGGTGGGGGGGGATCGTTTGAATTAAAAACCATCTACTTTGCAACACAGGGCTGAGTGATGAGTACACAGGGAAAACCATGAGCCAGCAGTTTGCAACAAAGCTGGCAGGCTGCTGGAATGTTGATCCTGAGGATCATGTTCCAGAGCGGAGACGCCCTCCCTAGGCCAGGCTGGGACTCAGAGCCGCTATTTCAGGCCGGGGGGATTAAGACCCACCCGTGACGAATGTGCATACACACGCGCATGCATGCGCACACCCACACGTGTACACGTGTGCGTGCACAGGTGCCGGACACTGCCTTCCTCTCCCTGTGCGGGCTCCTGTTCCCTGACCTCTACGCCCGCCTCCTGAACTGGGAAGTCTCCTGGAAGCCCTGTGTCTCCCCTCCCTTGAAAGGCCTGTGCCAGCCACAGCCCACCTCAGGGACCCGGGATGCGGACGGGAACGGCACACGGCACGGCCTACGGGCCCCCACCGCCTCCAGGCACCTCTGGCTCTGCACTGGCCCGCAGCGTTCATCTCAGCCAGCCCTCCCGCCGTCTTCTCTGCCTCTGTCTTTCTCGCCAGATTCCCTGCTCCCACCCGGGCCTCTTCCCCCGCATCGCCCTTGCCTTCCCATCCTTCCATTCCTGCGGCTCCTCCAAGCCTTCCTCTACCTCCTTCTTGAACAAGCCCCTCGATGTCTGTCTTTTTTCCCTTTCTTCTGCTTCTTCTTTCTCCTCCGGCTTCCCCTAGCCTCTCTGTCTCTCTCTCCATCTTTCCCACCACATGACTTCTGCTGACAGACATTTACTGGCCGCCTCTCATGCACGAGGCCCAGTGACAGCCGCCGTCAGCCGGCCTGTCTCTACTCAGAAAATGCCTGTCATCTAGGAGAAGAAAACGCGGCTTACGCCAGTGATTATAATATAAAATCCCATGTCATAGTCACCATGCAAATGGCCCAAAGTGCTCCAGCTATTAGTTGAGAGAAAGAAAAGTCCATTCCGGGTATCAGGGGTATCAGGGAGGCTTCCACGGGGGGAGCAGCCCTTTTCCGGCTCTTGGGGAAGAGGCGGGATTTGGTTCTGCACAGAAATGAGGCGGCACCCCCTCCAGGGAGGGTGACCGGGGAGGGCCTGGGATGTGAGGGGGAGAGAGGTGGAAACTCCGGGGGCAACCAGAGTTTTTGAGCGGGAGCAGGATGTGAACACAGCGCTAGAAGATAAATCCAGCGCAGGCTGAGAGTTGTGCGCGCGCACAAGCGGGAGCGTGGCTGTGTGTGCACGTGCGCGCGTGTGTGCAGGGGGACGGAGGGCAGCCGGAGCCGACAGGAGGGCAGGTTAGGAGGCCTTGGCAGTAGCCTGTGTGCAATCACCTCCTCTGCCGACCGCAGCCTGAGCTGCGGAGGCGGTGGCAGTCAGAGGAAATGAAAAGACAGGCTGGAGAAATATCTCGCTGAGTGTCTTTTCTTCTCTTTCCTGACGCGTTTGTTTTCCCCCGATTGTCTGATTTCTTCCTAAGCGGACCAGAGCCTTTCAGCAGCGGCCACATCAGCGCTGGCTTCCTGGGCAGGCAGAGACCTGACTCGGGTCACGAGAGGGTCCAAAGTCCTTTCCTCTTTCCTGGGTCTCGGGGCCCTGAGGGCTGTGACCCTGGGGGGCCGACGTTGCAGCCAGCACCCCTGAGACCCTGCTCACCCGGAGCCCGTGCTCGCCTCTCAGCCAGCTCTGCGTCCAATGACCCTGCTCGTCCAGGCGCCCTTGGCAGCCTCGGGCCCCCAGCCCCGCGGGGCCCCTGTGGCTGCCGAGCCCTCTGGCCTTCCCCTCTCTCCCCGCTGCCCTGGCACACCCCAACGCCAGGGCTCGGGGTGGAGCTGGAGGGCCCGGAAGGGGGAGACCCAGCACCTCTCCAAGGGCCTGATTATTTCCAAAGACTGGTGCTAATTTTCTGATATGATCCTCACATCTCTGTGAGGCACTAAACCCTCATTACTTTTCCTGACCGATGCATTCTAATTAGATCAACACTTAAAAAAAAATTCACAATAGCCACAGGATGGCTTTCCATCTCATTAACTCCTCACTTATTATTTTCATGAAAATTACTGATAAAAATGTGCATCTCCATTTGGTGAGGCCTCACAGCCTCCTCGGCGCCTATCTTGCATCTCTCCCGTCACCCGGGCTGTGCAGCGTCGCCATGGTAACCCACAATAATAGAAACTAATAAATTACAAACGAGATGCTCGTTGAGCAATTATTGTCCTCTTTTATGCAAGTTTCTTGCTAATTTTGATCATAAGGGAAAGTACAATAAGACTCTGAAGGAATGAGTCTATTTCAAGAGAATATTAGCAAGCAGAAATCTGGGCGGCTGTTTTCGGATCTGTAATAGAGCGATTTGGTGGTTTCCGGCAAGGGGGAGAGGAAATAAACTTCTTGCCTCCTGTCCCATGCACTGTCATGTCCCACAGAGATCCCACTAAGGTGGGTGTGATGTGATACTTGTCAAAATGGGCAAGGGAAGGCTGGCCTTCCAGAAGTCCCTTCCCCTGCCTCTACCAACTTAGATCGCATGTGTTGGTCCTTAAAACTTAGGGATTCAAAACAACAGCACCACCTTTCTTAGGCGCTCTTTCCAGTGCTTCCCACCAATCATTCTTAGGAGGTTTATCTGGGCCCCAAGCCTGACTGTCTAATGAGAAGAGGCTCCGTGTATCTGTCCTGGACTGAGGAGAGAAAGGACATGGGGTGCCCGTGGCTTATGTACACACCAGTGAGGGAAACAAGCAGCTTTCTTAGTCTGTAGGTTCTGAGAAAACATTCTGCCCTGGAGAGAAGAGCCCATCCTCATCCAGGACACCTAGCCAAGGTTTTCCACGTTTCCCAGTTCCCAGGATGAAGGCGGCAGGTGACTCTCGAGAAACGGTGACTTGAGGTGACATCTGTAGCGGCCCTGAATCTTGGGGAGGCAGATGTACCTGGACAGGGTGAGCGGCTGGACCGTGCCCAGGGAGAGGCTGCCCTGGGCGGGGGCTGGGTTCAGGGCCGGCCGTGCCCACACCTTCCTTCTCAGGAATGCAGGGCGCTCAGCAGGCCTTCCTGGGGTGTCTGGGGGGCGGGGACGTCGGGGTCCATCCCCAGCTCTGTCCTTGCCTAACCTCCAGCAAGGCTTTCCGTCCACTTAACTCTTCTGCTCACTTCTTGGGGGTGTCTCGGGCCAGGAAACCAGGAATGACTTTGGACATTGCCCCCTCAGATCTGGCCCCCTCCTAGGGAATACTAATGCCCTGTCACGGTGAGCACTGGGCAGAAAGGGGCTAGGGCCCTGGCTGGTGTGGCTCAGGGGACTGAGCGCCGGTCTGCGAGCTGAAAGGTCACCGGTATGATTTCTGGTCAGGGCGTGTGCCTGGGTTGCAGGCCAGGTCCCTGGTTGGGGGCGTGAGAGAGACAACTGATTGATGTATCTCTTGTCCATTGTTGTTTCTCTCTCTCTCTTTCTCACTCCTTTCCCCTCTTTCTAAAAGTAAATAAATACAGTCTTTAAAAAAAAAAAGGGACTGGGGTGCCTGATGGAGAGAATGAGGACTCTGTCAGAGGAGGGCCCACCCAGTGAGAGCATCCGCGGGGCGACCTTCAGACCTTCCTGCGTCTGGCTTAGGCGCTAGGACCCAGCCCTGCGTGTTACCTGTGAGTGGAGATTTATGGAGGGCTGATTGGGGGAGTAGGGCCCCCCGAGATCATTCCTGAGCAGGTTATCGCTGTGCATCTTGGTTTTGAGGCAGGTGATGTAACGGTTACAAAAGTCCTTGCAGAGCTCGTTGACTTTCTCCAGCTCCAGCAGGTGGATTCTCAGGACCTGGATTGCCTTCACCATCTGCGGAGAGGGAGGACAGGTGAGCCCGGGGGCTCGTATCACGTCCCCCCGCTGCCTTGGCCCCCAAGCCCCACGCACACAGGCGGGGAGGAGCCCAGGCCCAGACCCGGGTCCATGCTTCCTTATCCATGTGATTTGGATCCTCCTCATCTACTGTGATGCTTGCTCACCTCGAGCCCGCTGTTGTCGCGGCTGTTCTTGGGGCAGTTGTGGTATTTCCTCTGAGAACAGTACTGGCCTTAACGGCAGAAGACCACGCGCCAAGCCCCAGGCCTGCCGTTTACGATCGGTGTGGCCTTGGGCGACGGTTCGAGCTCTCTGCGTCTCACAGTCTGACAAGCGGGGACAGCGCTGTCCTCCCTGACAACCTCCCTGACAAGCGCACAGGTTTGCTGGGACAGTCATGTGAGGGGCTGAGCAAGCGGCGAAGCACTGAATAGCGTGAGGAGGACTGAGGTGGGAGTTCCTTGCAAGTGCCTCAAGAGGCCGGGCTGTCCTTAAACACACGTGCTGAGTGCCTCACGTGACCCAGGTCGCCTTGCGGGCGCCTCACGGATCCTCGCTGCCTGACTGCACCGTCCAGCAGGACTTAGCTAGGCGTTGGAAGCCCTCACTGTGGAGGCCCTTCCCGGGACCTTTGGACTGTGTGCATCCCTGTCGCCTCTTCAGACGGGCATTCCTAACCTTTTCATGTCAAGAAGCTATTTTTCCATTGACGTTTTGCTCTTTATCATTGTTATTAGTATAAAAGGAAAGTGCCAACGGGAGGTATGGAAAATAGAGGATGAAAAAATGCTGCCCTTGGTCCAATCATTCTAAAAGAATGATAATGTGGGGGGCTTTTCCACTTGTGTATATTTTAACACAGTTTCAGTCACCTTGTGCCTACAAGTTTGTGCCCTGTTTTCGTACTTATTTTACAAGACGTCATTTTCTAAGTGGCAAAGTTGTTCTCTCCATTCTCCCTCCTAGACCGGGAGCTCCTAGGGGCAGGGATGGTGTCTGATTTGCTCACCGTGATGTGCTCAGCACCAACACATATGGATATCAAATAAGTATTTACTGAATGGGTGAAAGTAAATTTATATTTTAATTGCTGCAAATTATTCCATGTGTGTGCCATATTTAACCAATTCCTCATTATTGGACATTTAGATTACTTGCTATTTTTTGATTTTATAAAAAATGTTACAGTGACTGTTTTCTAAGCTTATACCTTTTATTCATGTTTCTACATTATTTCCTTAGGATGAATCCCCGGAAGGGACATGAAAAAACCTATGGGCATTCCTTAGGCTCACGATAAATGTCGCCAAGTTGCTTTTCAAGAAAGCATTGTTTAAGCGGTGCTGGAGCAATTGGACAAGCACAAGCCAAATGATGAGTCTTGACATACATCTCACATCTTTTATAAAAGTAAACTCGAGTGGATGAAAGACCTATATGTAAGACATTGAACTATAAAACTTTGAGAAAAAGAAATCAGATAAAATCATCAAGACCAAGTAGTAAGCAAAGAGGATTAAACTTGACTCCAAAAGATGAACCCAGAAAAGGAAAACTTGATAAATTGGACCTCATCAAAATTAAAAATGTTTGCTCTTCAAAAGACCCTGTGAAGAAGATGAAAGGACAAACAGGCTGGGAGGAAATAGTTGCAAACCACATATCTGACAAAGGACATACCTAGAATGTATAAAAAGCTTTCAAAACTAAACAGTAAAATAACAAGCCATCCAATTAGAGCAGGGGCAGAAGACGACATCAGACTTTTTACTGGAGAGGATATACAGATGGCAAATAAGCCCATGAAAAGATGCTCAATGTCATTAGCCATCAGGGAGATGCAAATGAAAACCACAAAGAGATAACACGACACACTTATAAGAATGGTTAAATAAAAAGTAGCGATGACACCAAATGCTGGCGAGGGACTGGGCACAGGCTTACTCTCACGTTGCTGGGGGTATGTAAGGTGGTTCCGCCTTCTGCACATAACATTGTCTGACAAAACTAAATAGTGTTTACCGTACAACCCAGAAACTGCACTCTTGGGCATTTAACGCAGAGAAATAAAAATGTGTAGTTACACAAAAAGCCTGCGTGCAAAGCTCACAGCAACCTTATTTCTAATAGTCAAAAACTAGAAAAATAAAAACATACTTCAGCAGGTGAGTGAATAAAGAACTTGTGGTCCATCCATATCATGGACTAGTACTTGGTAACAAAAAGGAACCAATTATTGATACAGTTAGTTGGGTGGATTTCAAGGGAATTATGCTAAGAAGGAAAAACCAGTCTTAAAAGATCATCCCTCTTGTATACTATCCGATGCCATTTATAAAATATCCTTGAAATGACAAAATTACAGAGATGAAGAACAAAGTAGTGGTTGCAGGGGGCGGGGTAGGGGAGGGAGGAACTGTTCCGTATCTTGACCACCATAGTGTGTATGTGAAAGAACACATGTGATAAAATTGCACAGAATAAACACATACACGTCTGTAAAGCTGATGAAATCTGAGTAAGTTTGGTGGATTGTCTCTTGTTTACTTCCTGGTTCCAAAGGTGTTCTATAGCCAGCGAGAAGGGAGTCACAACTTCTCTAAACGTGTTCTTACGACTGCATGTGAATCTCCAATGACATCAAAAAGTGAAAAACAGGTGGGGCTTGTTGCCTTTTGAGGGCCATTTATGTTGCCACAAGTAAGACACCAAAGTCCCTGTGTCCCCCTACCCTCCCACTCTGGGCTGGCGTTTTGATGCCCAGGGAAACAAGGAAGGGACTCTCTCCTCCCAGAGCATCTGACTTCTGCTGGGGGGAGAGCTGCCAGCCCCTCCCCTCTGGGCTTTGTTGCCATTTCAAGCGGGAGGCGAGCGAGGAGAGTCCCTGGGTTGGCATTTGAATTGTCTGAAGGGTGTGCACTGTACTCAACTAATCAAGGGCTCTTGGCTCTTGTAGTCCTGAATGAGATGAAGCATCACTCAAAGCCAGAAGCCAACAATTGTGTGCCTTCGTACAGGGCTCAGTCACAGGGTCTGGCCCTAAGGAAGTGCTCCGTCCACGCAGCCGAGACTGATGGAGGTGGAGCTGTCCCAGGCACGGAGAACAGTGACCTTAGGGCTGATTATTTGAACTGAAAACTTGCAGTCAGGTACCGCATAAATATTCACTCTTGCCTGAAGTATCTACTTGACTTTGGCCATGAAGATCTTGTTTTATGTCTCTCAGAGTAATTAGCACAGTATATGGTGTTTGATAAACACTCACTGATTGATTGATAACGATATCCAAACATTTTTTATTCTAACTATGGCTCAGTCCCTGTGTTAGACCCATGGCACGCCTCGTCTTATTCACTCTACAACCATCTCCACAAGTGGGTACATTATCGCCCACACTTTACCTGAAGGAAATGAAGCCCAGAGACACTGTTTGATTTGCTTAAAGTCACACAGCTGGTAAGTAAGAGAACTAGGATGTGACGTCAGGTTGCATGTGTTGCTTTATGCTCAATATGGGCTCTCAGAATTTTCATAGATAGAGAACATGGCAGTTTAGATGGCGCATGGTTTAGGGAGGAAGCGGCTCAGTGACAGGAATTATGGGATTGCAGGAAAACCGAAGAGCTTTGGGGACATGATAGCTATTTCCAGAACGCCCCTGGTAACCTTCCCTCACTCGATGTCTCCTCTCTCACTCCTGGCCTGGCCCCCAGGAGTCAGAGTGCCTCACCCACGCAAGTACCCACATCCTCGGACGGCGGGGGGCCCTCCGTGTTCTGGTTCCCTGAGCATCTCCAGGGAGCCGTCCGCAGTTCACTGACGGTGTGGGGAGGGCCGCCTTCTAGGTAGACAGGAGGTCCGGACTCCCTAGGACAGTTGGCTGTGGCTTCTCGGAGGCTCTCCCAGTGAGAACCTTATCCTGTCAGACCATCCCTCTGTTCTCTCAATCTGCTCATTGAATTCTTCCGTGAGTTTACCAGCGTCTCTCCTGCCTTAACAGAAAGTGCTTACCCAGCCTTCTGCAGGCTCTGAGAACATCTAGTGCCTCCCTTGATTTAGTGTTATCCACTCAACATAAATATTGTCTCACTCTGTGCCATACACTGGATAAGGAATCTAACGTGAATAAATTGTCCTATTAGCTCTGTCTTCTCCAGGCAAAAGAATCCTAATTCTTTCAACCATTCTTCTTTTTCCTTTTGCTCTCTTCCCTTCTGTCTTCCGTCTTCCTCCCTTCTTTCCTTCTCTCCCTGAACTTTCCTTTACTGGCCTAGTCTTCATTTTTAATCAACATTTTTTTTACTCACTTATTTTTAAGTCTTTTCATGAAGTAATGCACACACATTCACATACAGAAAAGTACACATGTTTACTCATCTGTTTAAAAAACATAGCCCATAAGTACTGATTATAAAAAGGGAATCAGAAAATGCAAATAAGTGAAAAAAAAATAAGAAGGAGGACCCGCCCAGCTAGCTCTGCTGGAATGAAACACCCTCCGGGTACCCAGGCCTGCACACAGCACTTGGACGTGGCCCTGCCTTTTGATCTGATAAAGCACAGCTGAAGGGTTACTTTTCACGGAAGAGTAGACTTGGTTTAAAGACTCAAGAAGGCAGCACAAGTCAGAGCAATACGCCCAGGCAGTGAGCACGCAGGACCTATTCGATCTCAGGGGAATGCCGGGCGGCGCCGCTAACGAGGGGCGGCCGCCTGGCCCTGGCCGCACGGGGGCCTGGGGGGCCCGGGCGGGGGTGACTGACGGGCGGGGTCTGAGGCCAGGCCTGCTGTTCGCAGAGCGGGTCATATCGGGCCAGGTGCGCGGCCTCTCTGAGCCTCAGTGTCCTCATTTGCAAAGTGGAGATGCGATCATCCCTAAGTCGCAAGACTTGGTAAGAGCTAAGGGAAAGAAGGTAAAAGTGCTTCATGAACCGCAGGGAACCAAAGGCATGTACATTTTTAAACTTCTTTTAATAATTTCTAATATCTAGCTG